TAGAGACCCGAAGGTATGATGATTCACTGTGACATTCTGTCGCGCTTTGCACCAGAAGCTAAACGTTGTCTAGGATCCCATGCTGTGGTACGGTATTGGTATACTATACGACCGATATGGCAGCTATGACTACGCCGAGGAAGCCTTCTCCCAGGTCATGCATATCCAACCAGATTTCGAAAAGGCGAACGAGATTTACTTTCGGTTGGGTATAATATACAAACAACAGTCAAAGTATTCTCAGAGTCTTGATTGCTTCAAGTATATCGTCAACTCTCCCCCAGGACCGTTGACCCAGGAAGACATCTGGTTCCAAATTGGACATGTTCATGAACAGCAGAAGGACGTAAGTGCATATTTATAATCGCACACGCAACGACAGAACTGACATTTCATAGTTCGACAATGCCAAGGCTGCTTACCAGCGAGTTTTGGACCAATCTCCAAACCACGCCAAGGTCCTCCAGCAACTTGGTTGGCTGCATCACCAGCAGAGCAACACGTACGAGAGCCAAGATCGTGCAATTCAGTATCTTGAGAAGTCGGTTAACGCAGGTATGATCATCTTGATGCCATTATGATTCCGAGTCAATGCTGACATGATATAGACAACCAAGATGCCCAGAGCTGGTACCTGCTCGGCCGTTGCTACATGTCGCAGCAGAAGTACCCCAAGGCGTATGAAGCATACCAGCAAGCTGTCTATCGCGACGGAAAGAACCCTACCTTCTGGTGCTCGATTGGTGTTCTCTATTACCAGATCAACCAGTACAGAGATGCACTGGACGCTTACTCTCGAGCCATTCGCTTGAACCCTTACATCTCTGAGGTTTGGTATGACCTTGGCACTTTGGTATGCTTCACCCTTCTATCTTTCAAGAAGCGCAGACTAACACAGGCGTAGTACGAGAGCTGCAACAACCAGATCACTGATGCTCTGGACGCATACCAGCGTGCTGCAGAGCTTGACCCTGGCAACCCTCACATCAAGGCTCGCCTCCAGCTTCTCCGCTCTGGTGGTACCAACGGTGGCCCGCCTCCTTCTGCTCCTCAGCCGGCCGATGTCCACCCGCAGGCTTATCAGGCCGCAGGCCCTGCCGGACCTCCTCAGTGGGGAGGCTCTGCTCAGCAGGCACCAGCTTCTGGTCCTCCCCCCATCACTGCCAACCCTGGAGACCCCTGGGTAGGCAGGCTCTCCAACATTAACCCTCCACCTCAACCTCCCAACCCCTACGAGGCTCGTGGAGAGCCCTTCCGTGGAGGCCCTGCTCCTCCTCTGCAACGCCAGCCCAGCCCCCAGCAGGAGCAGCAGATGCGCCAGCCGTACAACGACCCGACCCGGAATGGGCCTCGTCGTGGCCAAACTCCTCCTCCTCCTCCTCCTCCAAGCCATCAGTACTCTCAGGGACCTCACCCCGCTCCCCCGCAGTCTCAACCGCCGGCCCCGGCCTCTGAGCGCCGAGTTGCCAACCCCAACTGGGGTGGAGCGACACCTTCGGCATCGGCCCCCCCTTCCAGCAATGTCAACGGCCCTAATGGCCCGAACGGCATGGCTCCCTTCCGCCCAACTAACAGCCCTCGTCCCGACGGACGCCCTGTTCACGACAACCGCATGCCTTCGCCCAAGTCAGCGTACCCTCAGCACCAGGCCCCACCCCTGTATCCTCCTCATCCCGAGATGTCTGGCCAAGGACCTCCTGAGAATGGACCACCCGGACCCCCGGGACCACCTGGACCACCCCCTCCTGCTGTGGCCGAGGCTGCCATGCAGCGAATGGACGAGCGACCTCCCTCGGTGGGACCTAAGCGCATGCGGGAATGGGAAGAGGAATCTGCCGCTAAAAAGCAGGCCAACGAGGAGAACCGGGTTCGTCTGGATGACATGCGACACCGAAGACCCTCCACTCCCCCCCGTGATGCCTATCGCCGCAATTCGTCAGAGGCGCGACGTGTGGAAGACCAGCGCCGAGTGGATGAGCCTCGTCGTGCAGAGGAGCCACGACGACCGGAGGAATCTTCTCGTCACCCCAGCGACAACTACCATCCCTCTGATGCTGCTCATCACCCCCCAAGCCACGCGTCGGGCCCGAACCATCTTCCGCCGATGCAGCAGGGCCACAGCCCCATGTCTGGAGTTGTGCATGAGAAGTCTCAATCTGGGCCAGTCCCTAAGGAGGAGCGTCCACCAAGCCTTGAGCATGCTCCCCCTGCCCGCGCAGCACCCCCGGCGTCTGAGCCTGAAAGGGCGGCAAGGAAGATGGAAGTTGACGAGAACTACGATGACAGCGGCGAGGATGAGAAGAAGACTGGTATCGTTACTAACGGCTCCGGTCCCGGCTCGGCTGCGGGGGATGTTAAGACATCAACGCCGGCCAACGCCAATGTCAACGGTGTGTCGGGGCCCACCCCAAAAGTTGAATGATTGATTGGGAGCTTTGATCTTGCCCGAGTTACGAGTTGAAGAGTCCTTTCACAGTCGATTAGTTCTGTCATTTTTCATGTATACCACCACTTTCTTATGGGGGCGCGGTTTCATTTGTGTGGGCAAAGCGAGGAGGCCAGGGACAGAACTATCAAACCCGGGGTTACACGGTCTTTTCTTGGCTACATTTCACTGGCGAACAATATCATTACACATATCAATCTCGTTGGTTGGTGGCTCCGTAGTAACTATTCAATTCAAAAAGTCGTACCTAAACAGTGCCCATGCTCATAAAAGTCGTGATCACAGACACTCACACGATTAGGAAAACTTGAGAGTCGAGGTTTGGAAGTGGGAAGAGAATGTTCACGTGACCTTCTGTTCCTGATCAGGGTTAGGCCATCACCTCGGTGAGGGAGGTCTTTTTGGTGGAAGATGGAAGGCTTAGCAGGCCAGACTGTGCCATTGAACGCCCGCGAGGATTGAGATATGTGGGAGCGTGATGTATATGTCCTGTGAGAATATGAACCTCAGCTAATACATATCCTTGGTATTCCTGTCTCAACGTCGCTCAGGTCGTCTCCCACCTTTCTTCGCAGTTTCTCGGTGACCTCTCGGTGAAGCATTTTGTGGGGCTCAGGTCAGAAAGCCCAGTGATGCACGGGCCACCCACTGTTTTTTTCCAAGCGTGCTCGCTTAAAATTTCGCCCACACTTTTTATTTGAACCCTCTTGCCTTTTCTCTTCACGCAGGCTTCGTCAACTCAGGTTCCTACTAACCCCCTCAAACCACACAGCCCGCCCAAGATGAGTGTAAGTTTGACGACGACGACGGCGACAATGGCATCGTGAACAGAGACTGACGATAGATGAATAGCACCGCAAGTTTGAGGCTCCCCGCCACGGCTCCCTGGCTTACCTGCCTCGGAAGCGCGCTGCCCGCCACCGTGGAAAGGTCAAGTCGTGAGTATTACTGAATATTTTTTCTTCTTGCGATACCTTTCAGGATCCCAAGAAACAATGCAGTGGCTAACGCATTGGCGCAACAGCTTCCCCAAGGATGACCCCAAGAAGCCCGTCCACCTGACCGCCGCCATGGGCTACAAGGCCGGTATGACCACCATCGTCCGCGACCTCGACCGACCTGGCGCCAAGGCCAACAAGAAGGAGATTGTTGAGGCGGTTACCATCGTGGATACCCCACCTGTACGAACAATGCAGCCCGCTTGGCTATGTGCCTATGGCTAACATCTTTTAGATGATCGTTGTTGGTCTTGTGGGCTACATCGAGACTCCCCGCGGCCTTCGATCCCTCACCACCGTCTGGGCCGAGCATCTGAGCGACGAGGTCAAGCGCCGCTTCTACAAGAACTGGTACAAGAGCAAGAAGAAGGCCTTCACCAAGTACGCCAAGAAGCACTCCGAGAACAACGGTGCCTCCATCACCCGCGAGCTCGAGCGCATCAAGAAGTACTGCACCATCGTCCGTGTCCTCGCCCACACTCAGATCCGAAAGACCCCCCTCAAGCAGAAGAAGGCCCACCTCATGGAGATCCAGGTCAACGGTGGCTCCGTTGCCGACAAGGTCGCTTTCGGCCAGGAGCTCTTTGAGAAGCCCGTAGACATCTCCTCCATCTTTGAGCAGGATGAGATGATTGATGTCATTGCCGTCACCAAGGGTCACGGTTTCAACGGTGTTACCGCTCGATGGGGCACCAAGAAGCTTCCTCGCAAGACTCACAAGGGTCTCCGAAAGGTTGCTTGTATCGGTGCTTGGCATCCTTCCCACGTCCAGTGGACTGTTGCCCGTGCTGGTCAGATGGGTTACCACCACCGAACCTCGGTCAACCACAAGATCTACCGCATTGGCAAGGGCGATGCCGAGGACAACGCCGCCACCGAGATCGACGTTACCAAGAAGACGATCACCCCGTATGTTTTCCTGTTACTGACACATATAAAAGACATGCTAACAAGTACTCAGTCTGGGTGGTTTCGTCCGCTATGGCGAGGTCAAGAACGACTTTGTCATGCTCAAGGGTTCCATCCCTGGTGTCAAGAAGCGTGTCATGACCCTGCGAAAGACCATGTTCCCCCAGACCTCGCGGAGGGCTCTGGAGAAGGTCAGCCTCAAGTGGATCGACACCTCGTCCGAGTTCGGACACGGTGCTTTCCAGACCCCTGCGGAGAAGAAGCAGTACCAGGGTACCCTCAAGAAGGATCTTGCCTCCGCCTAAAGCGGTGGCTCGTTTCCTTTTCTGTCTTGACCATTTGCACGGTGTCGAGGGTTGGTTCGTTCGCCTTGCGTTTGGGGCTGGGTTAGGTTAACTGGCATGAACGTAAAAAGTCCAGCTAGAGGGACGGATGCAAAAAATTCTAACGAGATTCCCAATGTTAACCATGCTGTCCTTGGTCAGTGACTTGTAGTTGCTTGATTGTACTGTTGTGCGTGTATGTCGTAGTGCCCATGGACCCATTTGCATGATGTCGTTGTCTGTTGTGGCTGGTTCTTTACTCATCGTCGCCTGACGTCACCCCCACTTGAAACTTGTACATGCATCATCCTCTTGTCCCACTACCTCAGCTCCCGCGCGACGCCTCCAATTCCTCCCTCATGTCCCTCAAAACCTGCTCTCGGCGCTTGTTGAAACTTCACACAACCTCCCTACCTCTCTGCACGCAGTTTCGCTCTCAGTTCCTCATCCAAAACACCATCTACCGAGCTCACACAAGACCCCTCAGCGGAACTAGATCCTTCAACATGTCCAACGACGACGACTACATGGCCTTCCTCAACAAGGCGAACCAGGATACAGGCACCGACGCGACTACACAGCAAAAGTCTTCCGTGTTCAAGGCCAAGGATACGGGTAGCGAGGTACCCAAGGAGATCCGCAACGTGTGCAAGAGCGCCGTCTACGTCTCGGACGCCGACGAGCCATTCGAAGAGGTCTCGCTCAAGTGGGAGGGCAAGAACGGACTACCAACTGAATGTGAGAGAACCTCTTCTCGATACTACACATACCTAAGACTGACCTCGTTCTAGCCGAGTTTGCCAAGCTCATCAACCACTCCTCCCCCGACTCTGTAGAAATCAAGATCCTCGACCCCCTCAACTGGGACTCGCAAGGCCAGTACACCAACGTCATCGAGGCGGTGCGCGAAGCGTCCAAGGGAAACGACGTGCGTGTATACCAGATCGTCCGGGATGCCACGAGGGTCGAGTACTGGGTTGTCTCGCACGCCGATGGCAGGCTCATCGGCGCCAAGGCACTGTCGGTTGAGAGCTGAGATGGAGTTGTATCGCTTGGGATGGATATGGGAGCCTCGGGATATTGATTTTTGCAAACGCTGATTGTGCATATGAGGTTGCTGGCCTTGCCGGGCTGGTTGCCTGCTCTCTCGTTACCTACTGGCATTCTAAACCTTAATGGAATGCACATCTTGGACGAGATTCACGAATAAATGATTGAAACATGAGAAAGAACTTTGCTATCCCAAGAGTGAATTTCTTCCGAGTAGATATCGATCTGGCTGACAGGATGCAAATGGCGACCGAGACCACGGCCGTGTGTTGAAACATGCCTAACAGAACCTGTGCAATAATCAGTCACATCTCATTTATTGGCTCGTCGACAGTAGCCTCGGCGTGAAATAGGAGGCGGGTCGGCAGCTACGAGTCTTCTCTGTCTCGTGAAACAATGGGCACATCCTGCTGATGTTCAAGTTTGATGCTAGAGAAAGTAATTTCATTTATCGTATTGCTCATTTGATTTCCTGCCGCCGCCACCCAAGGTATCTACAGTCATTACCAAAACATCCCTAAAATATGAATAACCAACGCCAGATACCATACGTCCTGAGACCGTTGGTAATATGAACATGCGTGTATATGCTTAACCCCGCCTGATGTACATAGCCTTCCCTCTCCCATAGATGCTTCATCTACTGGCGAGCAAGTCCAAGGCCGGATGCAATATCCACATCCAATAACTCTGAAGGTATGGGTGTATCGTCCCTCTTCCCATCAAGGCTCAATAAGTCTGATGGGATGGGCGTATCTCTCTTCCCGCTTGCGTTCAACAACTCTGCGGGAATAGGTGTATCATCTCTGCCTCCCTCAACATTTAGTAAATCCGCCGGCACCGGAGTGTCCCTCTTGTTGTCGACATTGCTGGACGGCTTCTGGGGAGCAGTTGGAGTCTTGAGATCCACGTCCATGTTGGCATCATACTCGTCTGGCACTGAGAGACAGCTACTCGTGTCAGACATCTCCACATCGTGATCAAAGCTCTCGCTTTCGGAATCGGCGCTTTCGATGCTTGGTGTTGGCATGGTGGAGTATGTGATTTGCGGGATTTTGATGGCAGTGAGAGGAGTCTTGACCTCTTCAGCTGTCTTGGGCTTTGCAGCTTCTGCTCTGAGTGCGGCGATAGAACCTCCAACATGCTCATCGTCTTCCTCATCTTGGCCAATGGTCCAGACCCAGCGACGCTTCTTTTCCTTTCTCTTGCGCTTCAACACACCCTTTGGTCCTGCTCCTGCCGGCGAAGTCCCTTGTGGTGAGGGTGATGTGCCGGTGATCAACATGCCCAAGCGGCGTTTTGTGTCTGTAAAGGGTCCAGGTGTCTGTCCGCCGTCCTGTATTTCGTTGGGAGTGAACGCCAAGGCGAGATCCACTGCATTCTGGGGCATAGGGGGTAAGCATGGGGGAGAGTGCGGTGACGCCTCTTCGACGAGAAGGTCAATGTGGGACTTTGTGTATTTGTTGGTGATGATCTCCTGAGTGAGAGGCTTGCTGTAGCCGACTCTCCTGTTTGCCTTTTCTTGCAAACGCCGAGATTGTCGTCGAGGAGAGAAGGGAGGGATGGCGGTAGGCGGAGGAAGAGGTGAGTTGCGCAGGATGCTGTGAAGTGATCGAGGATGAGTGTACGGAGCCTGTAGAGCCACGTCGGCAAGGCTCTGTTGCCGAAGAGGAGAGAGTGTCTCGGATCGTGAAGTAACCTCTTGCCCATCTGTTGCTGAAGTGTCGGCAGCCGAGAAGCTGAAGGGCCTGGATGTGTGTGAGTCGACTGGGCCAGCGGATAGAGGAGGCGTGGCCGTCATGGTGCTTGGGTAGTTGATCTCGAGACGGGTTGGTGAGGGGGCATTCTCTGACGAAGGAGTCTCCGGGTATGAAGCAACGTAAGGTGTGACAACTCTGTGCTTGGCGTCCATGGGTGTTGTGAGGCTGAATGCCTCGAGTGTGTTGATGGCGGTCATGGGCTCAGTCTGAACTGGCGTCGACCTCTCAATAGTGGTAACGTAGACATTGGAAAGCGTGTTGAAGGCAGTTGGGTCCTTGGGGTCCACGGCGTAGCTCCTCGATGACCTTGTGGTCGGGCTACATGATGTCTTGATCTGAAGAGAGAGCCGAGGCCTCTTGGATGGTGCTTGTGTAGAAGCCATGGCCGGATGTAACGGGGGACGAATAAGTTGGTATACGCCAAGTCGACAGAGACATCCAAGAAATGAAAAGAGCAGATTCTGTCGGAAGTGGCTGAGACTATACAACCAACAGACCAGCACTTGTACCCGAGAGACTGGAACCGCCAGGGATCACAAGCAACAACGGGATGTCAAAACGGCAGAAACAACACGAGCAAACGGCGAGAAACGAGGGCCTTGCGTCTATATAAGACGGCATTGATCAAAGCGCACATCTCACTGGGCCGGCCGCGGAAACGAGAGGGGGGTCAGGGCGCCCATGCTCTCCTCCACCAGCCCCGACACAAAGACAAGCGCCCCTAGCCATGCATGCAGTGTGATATTTCACTCAAACTAAACGCGGAAGGCGAAAGTTGAGAAGGATTCAGCCCTGGGGCCTCTGGCTTGCCAAGAGCGAGGTGAAAGTGACGGGGGTGTTGCATTGGCGTCTCCTCTGGTTGGCTCGTTGAAGCCTCGAGGGGGGGAGCGTTGAAGGCGCAAGCGCCCTGGTTGAAGAGTCACCCTTGTTGAGTTCTAAACAAGGCCCAATCACGCGGCTATCAGGTCGGCTCTTTTCACTCCCACTGGCGTCTATTCCCCTCTTGCAACCCTCCCCTCCCTTAGGCGACATGGTGGCTTGGCCTTGAGGGGACTGACAGAGTGACTGGTCGTCTGCTGCCTCTGATCGAGTCTTCCAGCGTCTTCTGTGGTGGATTTTCACCTTCGATTGTTGGAGCCAAAACCGGACGAGTTTCAGTAAGCCATGAGCAAGGAGAGGAGATCTGACGGTGCATTTGGCGAGCAGATGACGGTGGGGTCAACCTCTGCTCAGCCTACTGACACGATGATCCAAGCCATGATCCGGCAGGGCTTTCCCATGTCTTGAGTACGCCAGACCTTTTTTTGTAAAATTACGGATGGTCTAGGGCTGACTGGTAGACGTAATCTGTATTTTTGCGACTGTGGCTGCGTGTCCTTGAGCGAGTGCCGACGTACACGGATATCGATCAATAGGGCAGACTTGAGAAACAAAAACTGGGTGGTGGGAAAGTCAAAATGCGGTGGGCACGTCTGTCTGTCTTGCTCAACTGCAAGACCAGCGACATTGCAGCCGATGGGTCCAACTAGACGTCTCTGTGCATCTTGGGCGTCAGGTCGGCGGCTACAGCGCAATCGTGGATGGTCGAAACGACCCAGCAACATGTAGTGGGTGCTTGGCTTTTTTTCTTTCGCGTGCAAGGGTCAAGAGCGGGGACAAGACCGAGACCGAGACATTGACTTCGGAAGCGAGCCGGGGAAGGAGGGTGACTGGAGAGTCTTTGCCAGACATGGCATCGCATCGCATCGCGTCTATCGTATCTGTCTGACCCTGCTGCACTAATGACTGGCATCAACATGGAGGTTGGCGTCGACATCTGACCTGCTGCTCCATGTCTTTGCTGGGTCATGTCTCAGATGACACTAGAGGCCATTCCCTCGCAGCTATCTCGCATCCGTCTGGCGGGTTCATCCTGCAGCTCGTCGATCACGATTGAAACACATGTTGGGCGCGCTTGTTGAGACGTTGGAGGTTTGGCGCGCTTGGGGGCGGTGACTTGGCTCTAGGATAGTCTTGGTGACAGGCAGGGGCCATCACCGCCAGTTGAAATACAGATGAACGTGTTTTGGATTAAAATCCCATCATGTTTGGAGTAAAGAGATTGATGGAGCATCGCCAAGATCAAGGTCTATCCGTGTATGGGATGAAGCTGCACGACTCTCCTTGGACGCTGAGTGGTCGGGGCCTCAGGCACAGGCAGCTGCAGCGGCCCGAACGGGCAGGCGCAGGCTGGACCTCTGCCAGTGGCTCTGGGCAACAACGGGTACGGGTACGGGAGGTACCGTGAATTGAGAGATGATGGATGCTTCACCAATTACAATCAACTCTGTCTATCTTCATTATAAGTGTTTGCTGATGTGAATGTATTCACATACAAAACCAACATTCTGTTTGGCGGTCAGAGTCAAGTTATTGGATCCTTACCAATCTCTCCCCGTCTCCTGTAACCTCTCCCGCGCAAGACAAATCTCGCGGTGCACGCATCCCGTCTGCATGGCCCCCATCTCTTCAACTCGATGAATCCCGGTCAACCATGGAGACTCCGAATAAAAAAAGGCCTCGATGGAACAACGACCGAGTCATTTTACAATTCGTGCGTCTCACCTCCGATCCGTCGCAGCCCCCGTCGGCCGCTCGTGCTTACACATCAGCCATAGGATTACGACTGCTTCTACGCCCAGGTCTTTGAGAACAAGAACCCGGCACTCAAGAAGCTACCGGTGGGCGTCAAGCAGAAGAATTGCCTGTCAACATGCAACTACAATGCTCGTGCTCTTGGCCTCAAGAAGCTCATGTCGGTTTCCGAGGCCAAGCGCTTGTGTCCGGAGCTTGTCCTGATGGATGGTGAGGATCTCACGCCATTCCGCGATACGAGCAAAATTCTCTTCAACTATTTCAAGACCTTTTCGTGGAATCACAAGGTTGAGCGCCTTGGGTTTGATGAGGTCTTTATGGGTATGTTGTCTCGCCAGGCTTGCTTAAAATAGGTAGTCTCAACTAAGGCCACGACCCGCCAGATGTCACAGATATCGTCGAATACAACCTGCTTTGCCTCAACAAGGCATCCCTGGCAGACTCGTTCTTTTGCCTTTCGAAACAAGATCCGGAGCGGGGCTTTCAGTGCGATCTGACTAGCATCGCGGGCTGTGTCCAGGACACAGCCTCCCAGGACCTTGACACTGAGAGTCCCGCTTACCTGCGCCTCCTCCTTGGCTCGCATTTTGCCCAATTCTTGCGTCTCCAAATAGAAGAGAAATTTGGGTTTACGTCAACTTGCGGCATAGCAACCAACAAGATGCTCAGCAAGCTCGTGGGTGGCAATAACAAACCGAGGAACCAGACGACGCTGCTGGCCTTGACCCAGGACGAAGCTATCGCGTTTCTGGATGACCATAAACTTAGAAAGATACCTGGTCTGGGCTTCAAAATAGTCGAGGTTCTCGGGGGTCATGTGGGTGCTGACATGAGTGCGGCCATGCCAGAAATGCCAGAAATGAGAGACGTGCCCGTGACTGTAGGCCAAGTCCGGCTTCATCCCAACATCTCACCTGGGATAATAGAGACTCTACTCATGGGTCCTGGTGCTGAAAAGGGTGTAGGGTCTAGAATATGGGGTCTACTTCACGGCGTCGACCCGACTGAGGTCAAGGAGGCTAGCGACATGCCAAGCCAGATCAGTATCGAGGACACCTATAAAGGCTTGGAAACTGTCCCGCAGATTACAGAAGAGCTCCACAAACTGTCTTGCTCGTTGGTTAGGAGAATGAGGGTGGACCTGCTGGTTCCCGATCAGAACTCTGACGTTCCAGGTTCTCAAAGATGGATCGCCCGGCCAAAGACGTTGCGTCTCTCGGTCAGGTCTTGGGCACAACTACAATCAGCCCAAAGCCACAATTCCGGACGGGTTTCTAGATCAGCACCCCTTCCAAACTTCGTCTTTGATGTTAAAGATGACATTGATCGCATCGCAGAGCGGCTCGTTTCGGAGTCGTTGCTCCCACTTCTGCGGCGCCTTTCGCCCGAAAAGGGGCACCGGTGGAACTTGCAGATGCTCAACATTTGTGTGGCGAATATGGTGGCCGGTGCAGCGGATGACAAGACGGGAGCAGGCAGGGACATATCTGCCATGTTCAGGCGTCAGGATGAAGTGCTGAGGCCGTTCCAGGTAATTCCAGATCAGGAGGATGAGGTAGAGGAGCCTGCGAGATCGGAGGATGAGTGTGACGATGGCGATGAGGAGGCGACGGGTTGGAGCATGGAGGAGAATGTTTCATGTCCTATCTGTGGACATGCGATCCCCCCGTTTGCTGTAGCGGCGCACCAGAGATACCACGAAATGGGAGAAGAATGAAGTTGTCGTGACTTTGTGCCATGTGTTCGGTCTGCCGCATGGCCATGACAAGGACCAGCCAACATCGTGTACGCACTCATTCAACCGAATCAAATCGAGAATGATGTCAGGCACGTCAAGATCGGATACCGGTCTTTCTTTTTTCTCATGGGCAACGGCAGGCGAGTCGATTCGATTCGGGGCAGGCCCTCTTCCGTCCGGTGTCGTGCTCACCGATGCTTCTACCGAAATTTGGTTACACAACACCATGATTGCTTGGGTGAGCTGGCACCTCGACTTTTCACGACGTACGGAAAACAAGACCGAAGCCTCCTGCGTCACTAATGGGTGTCGTGGTGCTATGGGAGTTTGGGTCGAGCTGAGTGTTGAGGGAGCTCGTAGTTGAGATTCGAGCTCAGCAAGGCTGGTTAGAGCTATACGTAAAGCTATTGACATTTACTATGTATTTACAAGGCCTATGTAGTCTTCTTTATCCCTCGCTTAGCCAATGGCCGAACTGAACAAGCTCCGTTCCCTAGTCGCACAAGTTGCGGAGATACAAGCCCCCTATCTCGCCACTTGCTTGTCAGTAGACTAGTCAAAGAGCCGTGACGAGTATCGACAAGCATGAATGAAACCACGAACAGACATTGTAGCAAACAAATTCACGCCCAGAGTTTCACTGGCGGAAGAGAGTTGGGTGCAAGTGACTCGGTCTTTGATGACTCTGACCAAGCAATGCTATCTCTTACACTTCACAGATCAAAGCATTGAATGAATGACGACCTTGGATGCATCGTACATTGTGAAACTCCCTTATCCGCGTTTGTCCCGTAGAGAGGCAGCAGAAGAGAGTACCAGAGAGCCGGCAGCATCATGTGGTCACATCCGGCAGCCAGCTGGCAGCACTGGCAGACAGCCGGCAACGCAACGCCAGCCCCAGCCAAGGAAAAGGACCAGAGAGCTGGTGAAGCATCAAAGGTGCACCGCATCGCCCCGATATTCTCTCCTCTTCCACTCACCTCGTCTCCCTCCTTCCGATCCTTCCCTTTCACCTGTCACTCGCGGCTTCTGGCATACCCAACCAGATATTGGGGCAACCACCCACCCACCACCATCGCATCGCACCTTCCATCATTTGATGTGCGGTCGTGCCTGCCTTTACCTGCTTTTACTCTCTGTCTTCTCTCCCCTTTCTCTCCTCTCCTTCTCTTTATTCTCCCTTGTACCTTCTGTTTATCGGCGAGTCCGTTGCTTCCTTCCTGTTTGCGTTCTCCTCCCATTGTCTCCTTCTTTCATTCATTCATCCCAACGGAGAGAGACCCTCTCCTCCTTGTTTACGTCTTCTGTCCGACCCTCTTCAATCTCGTGAATGAGATGACTTCTATTGGCAGCAACTCGGTTTGCAGGAGAAAGAAGTACTGGCTGCTTTTCATCTGATGATGCAGCTTCTGCTTCTCCCTGGACTTCCAAAGCTCGACCTTTAGCAACTTGTTCGCCCTTGGTCATCGAGGTTCTCGCGATAACATCATCTTGATCACTCAGAGTCCTTCCGTTATTTGCCTACAAGAGTCTACAGACGATCGGTCGTCTCCATCAGTTCAGGCTCTCGCATCTCCTATCTTTGCTCAGCACTACACCAACTCTCCTACGACGGCGGCATCATGGGTCGAGGCGGTCGAGGAAGTCCGGCTCCTCGCCGTCCCGTTGACGTGACCGGAGCTATCTCACCTGTTGAGAGAAATGATTTGGTTACGCTGATCAATGCTATAACCGAGAAGCTTCACAACGACATCAGTATCATCTTCGATTCTCCTCCCGTTACCCCCATTCTTGGGGATCAGGACATTGGCCATCACCAATTATTGGCCCTGTCACTCCGCAACACAAAGGAGAATGCCAACCCCAAGCTTTCGTCCCAAGTCAAGAGAGCAACGCAGGTGCCTCAGCCAAGTCCCAAGGTAACCGAGTCTGGAGAGAAGGGAGATGCAGAGATCACGCCTCAACTCAGGGAGCTCAAGAAAGAGGCTCTCCTCTTCTACCGAAAGTGGCAGACGATCACCATGCAGCGTTTCCGGGACTTGAGTGTCATGGAAGCCAATGCTCCTCAAACTAATATTCGTGGGCGTGGGCGTGGCAGTACTCGAGGTGTAAGAGGTGGTCGCGCTGGCCGCGGTGGCAGAGGCGGTCGTGGAGGGCTTACAGTGACAACTGGCAAGTCGGAAAATGAAACTACTGGTTCGTATACATTCTACTATTTCTTGGTTCCAACTATACTTATAAGTCATGGAAACTAACGCGTGTTAGGCCCTCTCAAAACCCCCTCAAATCACATCGACCGTGACCTATCTCGTCGATTCCCACCAATCCCGACCTCGCTCTGGACACTTCCCGTTGAGAAACGAAAGCTTTTGCTTCATATTTCGCTTCTCATGGTACTTTCACTCCAAGAGTACAGCGCCTACGCCCGTCTCCTTCTTCTCAACCTCACTTCTTCTCTGAACCTTCCGTTGAAGTTCCTTCAGGAGGAAGAAAAACGCATTGCGCAGGGATTGAGTCAGCTTGCTGTCGACGTGGCCGCCGAGCAGGCCACTGAACAAAAGCAAGATGAGACCAAGCCTGTTGGGAAAACCAAGGCGCGCTTGGCTTCTATGACCGGACCCTTTCGACTCGGAGCGCAGCTCATTGCTGCAGGTATTGGGACTACCCACGGCGGTCATGGGCTAAGACTGCCTGCGGCTGCGGGCTTGTTGGGGCCCATGTCTGACAATGGCATTGCTGCAGGCTCGTTGTTTGGAATCTATGGAACGAGACCGACTGGCAAGATGATCGAGTCATTCTCTCGTGAGATCCAGGACTTTGGCATTGTTCCCATCCGAGGCACGCCCGAGGACTACGTGGACGCCAAAGCCATCCCAGCCAAGAGCCGACGACTCCGAGTGATCATCGCGGTAAACGGTTGGGTCACCGAGAAAGAAGACATTGCTCGACCCTGGAAGTACCTCGGTGACCATGCAGAGGTTTACGTCCTGCGGTGGGAAATGAGTGCTCTTCAGAGTCTGGGAGGTGCGCTTGAGACTGTTGTCCGAAGCTCAGCGTGGGCAGTAGCAAAGAAGGCCGTCACTTCGCGAACCAGTAAGTCATAACCTCAGAAGTACGAGCAAGCCGGTCCTAACATTACTATAGTATTCACGAGTCTCATTGAGGCATCTTGGCCTGCAGAGCTTATGAAAGTCAGCAAGATAATCGACAACCCCTGGAGCATCGGCATGGTTCGCGCTGAAAAGGCGGGTGTGGTGCTTGCAGACGCCATCATGCGCAGCAAGATCCAAGGTGATCGTCCCGTGTCTCTGATGGGTTATAGTCTGGCGGCTCGGGCCATCTATGTCTGTCTGATGGTCCTAGCTGAGCGCCGTCAGTTTGGCATCGTCGATTCGGTCGTGTTGATGGGCACACCTGCGCCCTCCGAGAGCCGAGTTTGGTTGACGCTGAAGAGCGTCGTGTCTGGCCGCCTGGTCAATGTCTACTCGGAGAGTGACTATCTTCTTGGCTTTTTGTATCGCACTTCGAACATCCACTTTGGTGTGGCGGGCCTTCAGCAAATCCAGGGCGCGGATGGTGTTGAGAACCACAATGTTAGCGACCTTGTGAAGGGACACTTGCGCTATTCGACCCTGACTGGCAAGATACTCAAGGATATTGGCTGGGAGGACTTGAGCATGGACGCCTAGAAGGCGGACAAGCCACGCAGGACCGCTTAGAATGAGGTAAGTGCTGGCCGTCATGCGAGGTCCCAACGGGGAGGTATCATTGCTCGGGGGTAGGCAGTTGGGGAAGAGGAAGAGTAGCCTTTTAGTTTGATGCGAGGATGAAGCTTTGTGTAAGATTAACAGTTAGCCAGGACATTCTAGGTATGCGTCCGTATGGCTCAAGCACAGATATAAACGTCTTATGTAAAAACCAGTCAAGCCCAACCCAGAGTGCACAGCACCACCGCCCCCTCGCTCCTTGTATGCTCGCTCATGCTGATGGATACCATATGCTTACTCCAGTGTATGCCTCTCTTTCTCCCCCTCTCTTCTGTATGCTCCAGACAAGAAATGCGAACCAAGCAAGGCTTCGGGCCAGATTGAAACAGCCCGGGGAATCCAAAACACGTGTCTATCGGGGGCGCAATGTCCTCTTTTTTTCTCTCTCTCTCTTTCTTTGCTCTGCTCCATCTTTCTTCGAACAGGCTCACCCTTCAATCTACCTCTTCTTTCCCTTGGGTGGCTTCTGTTTGTTTGTCCCTTCTCGTCGACATCCCTTCCCTTCCCTTCCCTTTGATCTTGTCGACTCCATCTCGTGGCCGGCCAGCTATACACCACTTTTCGTTGCTGAGGTGGTCGTCATCCTAAATTACAAACGTGGTATCGTACATGGTGATTTCTCCCTTTATTTTCCATTCTTCATCTTTGTCATTGGATCACCCCCCCTTCAAGGCTACCTTTGAGCGAAAAAGGGGGAGGTGTCACACCATTATGTGTATGGGTTTCAGCATCACCGACGGAAGGGGGCTGCTGGTTGGATGATCGGCTCCGAGCTCCCGGGCTCTTTGCTTCCATCAATAAAAGAAATGTTCTCCTGTCGCACATTCTATGTCTCAAGTTGGAGGGGTGGTGCCAAGCATGCTGGGAACCTGCTTTCGGATCAGGCCACGGGCGCCTCGTGGCTCGACACGGGGCATTCCCTGGATGGAACGGGGTTCCCGCATGAGAGACCGGTCGAGGCGGGCGGGAATACGGGTCACCACAGATCGGTACTCGCCCGGGAAGTTGCCCTTGGGCAGTGGCACTGAGGCTGTCCGCCAAATGTGGTCGGATGTGTCGCCAAGGAAATGCGGCACCTTGCCGCCGCGGTTGGGAGGAGCAAAGCTGCCGGCGTGCAGAGAGGCACCGTGAGAGGCTCGGATGGTGGAGAGACGGGAGAGACCTGTCGACAGACCGGTCCTGCCTCGGGCTCTCTTGGCCATGATGATTTCGTCGAATAGACGGATCGCCGATGCATTGGCGGGGTGGATCTCTCGGTCATGAATAAACTCGTTGAAGCCTTTTTAGTTCCAGATTAGCATCAGACCGTCCAAAGGTTAAACATATGTGACGTGGCTTGACTTACACTGTGTTTCTCGCATCATGACAGCGTAGTCGTGCTGCTCGTACGGGAGACTCTTCATGAAACCCTCCATATCAAAGGCGTACAGCTGGCCATTGCTCTTTTGCTGACGCGAGGGCCGTCCAAGATATTTGCGGTATGTGTACAACAAGCTCGCCTGGCATCGGACAAACGCCGCCCGGACGCGGTCTGCATGGAAGGCCTCGGGACAGACAACGGAGACGTGGCCGAGGCATCTGCCGTGGGAACAGGTCTTGCAGGCATTGCACATGTAGATGCCATCTCCCTCGGCGTGTTCGTTGCAGATGGTGCAGATGGATGTGTTGTCCCTGGGGATCCAGTTGAAGCAGTGGCCCTCAACCCAGACAGTTGTCTCCGTGTTCCGCACAGGCTGGATCTGCATGCTGGGCATGATGGTTGACGCGGCCAGTGTCGACTGTGCGTACGTCGAGGGAGCGTAGCCGCCGCCGCCGCCGCCGCCATATCCACTTCCGCCGTATCCGCCTCCATAGCCTCCTCCGAACGATGTCTGGGAGTCCACAGAGATGGCCGAGATGGACAGGTTGGCCTGGTGGCCATTGAGGAACGGGAGGCTCGGTTTATGGAATGGCTGGTGCTTATCCAGGCCAAAAGACGAGCTGCGTCGCATCTTCTCTTCTCCGAAATGTCCTGATCGCTTCTCTCGGAGGGTGGCTGCAAGCGCAAACCCGGAGTCGCTTCGGGACACTGGAGTTGAAGGCATGGGAGGGAAGTTCATCGAGACTGGAGACACCGAGGACTGCGGGCTGGTCTTGCCAGACTTGCTAGTGCTGGGTCTGTCCGATCTGCCATTTTCCACCAAGGCGGTAGCAAAAGCATTGAAGACTGGCGGCTGGATCTCGTTTGTCAGATCCGCCTCTCCAAAGCCCGAAGAGTTCTGAGACACCCACTTGCCCAAGGTGCTCTTGGAAGTTGGTGACCTGAAAAGGGCGCCATTCTCACTGGAGAACGCATCGTAGGGGAATGACTCCATGGCATATGGAGGAGGTCCTGTCGTGACACCATATCGAAGCTTGTGTGGCGCCGCAACCTGCAGCAGGGACATGAGTTTCCTGCGGGCTTGACGTGGGAGGCGGACCGGCTGCGAGGTGGCATCGATGGTATCCTTGTCCAGGTCGACCAGGACATAGTCATCCTCGGGCAGCTCGATCTTGTCGTATCGTCGCTCAATGCCTACAATATAGGGGCAAGGCGCCTCGAGGGCCGACAAGAGTCGTGCGGGAAGAACAGGGATGAAGATGCTCGCCCACTTGAGTGGATAGAGCAGATTAGCCAAGGCATGACATGCAAGGTGCAGCATGCTCGTGTGAGACGAGAGAAAGATGATGCGGGATTCCGACATGGCGTACTCGAACAGCGCAACAATGTTCTCCAGCGACAGACACCTGAACAGAGCATAGAGATCAATGGTTCGTGAGCCCGGGAGCTCGTTCTCGGCCTCCTTTCGAGCATAGAGCCGTAGCTCTCGAACACCCAGCTCAACCTGGGTCTTGGATCCCAGGGGGTTGAACGCCTCGGTGCACAGGTTGACAACGTACCGCTCCAGGGGCTGCCAGCGCCCAACCTTGGGCGAGCTCGGGGGTATTCTCAGCACACCGCCGTCTGTCATGGGCGTGACAATGGCCTTGAGCCATTCCTTCCAGAACGACATGTTGGCCGGGTCTCGTCCCAGAATACCGTAAGCACGAGGTGTCCAGAGTCCGCTCTCGCCGGTGGTGAGGCCCTCAATCTTGGATGCAGCACCATGTCTCAGGGGCCGAAGCATATCCGTCATGAGGGTGATCTTTTCCTCCACCGTGCTGATCTCGTCTTCAAGCCTCTCACGCGCTGGAGAGCCTGATGGGATCGTGGGCAGCTTGGCGAGAAGCTGCGAGAGGTGTGTCCGCTCACCAGCCAGTCGAACTCCCAGGCTCGCTGCTAGCTCTCGCTCCTCTTCAGACATGTGGCTCTGTCGCCATTGCTCGCACCTTTGTTCCACCTCCTCGGCGACGTCGGCAGTCAGAGCAGTCCAGATGATGATGGTAATACCGTACAGCTTGCTGTTATCGTCAGAGGTCATGGTGAAGCCGTGCCATGTCGATCGTGGCCGATCATCCGAGGACACAATCTGAATGTCGTTGGGAAAGGCAAACATCGGCACGTAGTCGGGGAATTTTCCACGCCTGGAAATCTCATCCATAGCCTCCTGGGGAGGATATCGGTCAAGTAGAACAGGCTCATATCGTCGCTTGAGGGGGTGCATATCAGGATCGGTGTTGAGGGGCTCGGGCGGTGGGATCACAGAATTATAGTTGCTGAGACGCTTCGCGGTACGGATCGAGGCTGCATCTGCAAGTTAGCCAAAGTTACAATACAAAGGATGGGGCGCACAAACAGGAGCGCCGAGAAGATGTAAAAGACGAACCTGCTCGGCTTGCACTCGCTCTGGTGCTGGGTTGCTTGCGCAAGCTGTTCATGTCCCTAAAACTCATCTTGCGGCGGATGCTACCCTTAATGCTTCTGAGAGGACTCAGTCTGCCGCTATCGCTCTCCTCTGCTTTGATCCTCTCGGCTCTAGGGTTCACCATCGGTGCCCGAGCCTGGACTTTTGCGCCAGCACTGAAGGTCAGATCCTCGAGAAAGACCTCGCGCTCGGCCGCAAATTTGACAAGGGCCTTATCAAAATCAAAGTCGCCCATGAGCATGGAACCTTCGCCCAGGATGCCGCTGGGGGTACCGGTGGAATTGGCCCCTCCATTGGTTGCACCGAAGTTGGGGGGATTCACAGGGCGAATAGTGGCGCTACTGCGGTTGCTCTTGGTGTTGCCGTCGTTCTCCTCGAGTGTGTGCACAGAGAATCGGTCGGTGAGAGATATCCTGGAGAGTCGGTTGGAGGAACTGTGCCGCGAGTGTCGTGCGTTGACCCTGGCCTGGGAGCCGTTGGCATAATCATCTTCAGGCTCGCCATCCTCGGCGATGGTGGACTCGACAGGAACGACGGGGACTGGCTGCGACGCGGGGTCGTGGATGGACACCGACTCTACGCCGGCGATCCAGAAATAGTCGGCGAGAGGGGTCGAAGAGTTCTCCATGACATGTCAATTGTCGCTATTAGGCCGCAAATGGGCAAGGTTGGAGTAATCGGGGGTCGTGAGGGCGGAGAGCGGCGGGGGAGCAGTCGTCGACTGTGCTGCTCGTCTCGCTCTGCTCTGGTTGGGGTGTGAAGAGGTCCGCGACCGACAAATTTCAGGTTGCTGGGGTTTCGGTTAGGCCATGGACGACAAGACCAGCAGCGAAAGACGGATTATCGAGCGAGGGCGGCAACGGCGGCGGTAGGCGGTAAGGTAAATTCAAGCTTGAGCGACTTACTCTAGGCGACGGGAAGCTCTATGCTAAGTCTGGCTGGCAGAAAGAACTCGACTCGATGCGGACGTGGACGAGGAGGGGCCAAGGTCGAGAAACTGGCGAGGTGAGCCAGTCGCCCAGCGCCGTTCGTTCGTTCGTGAGCGAGCCAAAAGTTGGGTCTGGGGCGAAGGGTTCAGGTTCGAATGATGCAACCCAA